AAGAAAGTAAAATCTGTCACTGCCTCCATATCTTCCCCTTCTATTTCCCAGGAGGTGATGGGACCAGTGGCCATGATTCTAGTTTTTTGATGTTGAGTTTCAGACCGTTTTTTGCACTCTCATCTTTCACCCTCATTACAAGGTTCTTTAATTCCTCCTCACTTTCTGCCATCAGAGTGGTATCATCTGCATATCGGAGGCTGTTGATATTTGTTCCGGCAATCTTGATTCCAGCTTGGGATTCCTCCAGGACTGCCTTTCACATTATGTATTCTGCATATAAGTTAAATAAGCAGAATTCTCTCACTTACATTTAAACAAAATGCATATTATGAGCACCAAGGAGAGGAAGCAGAGGCCCTGGTATATTTACTTACCCTCATTTCTTCTGTATGGTATAAGCTTACCTTGCAGAAAAGTAGGGTTAGTTTCCATTAATACTAGTAATCATTCCAGGATTTCCTGTTAGTGGTTAAACACAGCACCTATCCCTTTGCTTTAATTTTTACTGCTGATTCCAGAGCGTGTTTACCTTGTAGAGTTTGTTGCGCATAATTTCAATGTTCATTTCATCCAAGTCAGTTTCAGATACACAGTCTTGAAAGAAATCAGCTGAAAGGAATCACGTTTAAGTTATCAACCTAAGTCATAAACCCATTAAAAACAAAGTCCACTTATCACAATGATTTGAAATGAGGAATGAAGAGGGAGGTGGAAATCTATCATTGTCCAAGAAGTCCAACTCTGCTTTTCTCTAAGCAGCAAGGCTGATGGGACAGATGATATCATGGAGTGGGAGCTCTGTCCCAAACACCATTGGTCTTCTTTAATGTCATACAGCCTCCCTTTCCCCCCAGATATCCATTTCATGCCTTGTCCATGCATACAGAAGCACAGAATTCTTTGCTTCTCTGCTTGGCGAATGTCTCTGTTATCTCCAGTCAGTGGTCAGAGATTACAGGGGCACACCCTTCCCCATTCATAAAGGAAGGAAGGAAGGAAGGAAGATAAATAATATTTAAACATTTCTGATTTGTACTATATACTATATAGCCAGGAAAAATGCTGCTTTGAAAATGTTGTGGTTGCTAATGCAAAACTCCAACTGACTCTTAAACTGCAGACAGTTGCTTATGCACTGTACAGAAATAGATGAGCATTGGAAATGTTCTCATATACATATTTATACTATACTATAGCAGTTTGAGAACCAATTATGGCTCTATTGTCAGACTCCTGGGATTTGCGATTTGATGAGATACTTGGGATTCTCGAGTATAGCTAATGAATAGATAGATATGCTCACAATCTTTCAATTCTTTGCCCCAATCACCTGAATTACAGCACTAGATCTCTCTAGCAATAGATGCTAAGTACCTCCAACAAGATAAGATAAGATATATTAAGCAGTAAATTGCTGCCACAAAGCTGAGAAAGTGCCTGGGAAGCAACAACTACAATTTTGGGTGGTAAGTTGTATTGCATCAATATTTCCGGAAGGTCCTGGGAGCCAAAAAGGTGTGTGTGTGTGTGTGTGGGGGCAAATGTGACTCAAAGCAAAAAGCACAGTGTGATGCTTATATACTGGCTATGCATTTCTCCCCCCAAAAGCACAGTGTGATGCTTATATACTGGCCCATGGTGCTTAGAGCTCTCTCTGAGCTATTTGCAATTTAATTATGCAGGCTATGCATTTCTCTCCCCTCCCGCCCCATGAGATGGACACTCAATTTACCAACCTCAGAAGGATGGAAGTTTGAGTCAACCTTGAGTTGGCTAACTAAGCCTGGGACTGAACTCAGGTCAGGAGCAGAGTCTTTGCTGCAGTACTGCAGTTCAACCACCACACCACAATTCATATATGTTAAGATAATGCTCCCTTTTCCTTGGATTCATTCATTTTTTAATCAGGGTAAAATGTTAAATTGTATTCATGAAGAGCAGTCCAGCACAGCTTGCAATCTAATGAGCCAAATACACTCCACCAGGCCTACATGGTGGCTTTATGCCTGCCTGACATGAAAACAGAATACATTATACAGATATAATGTAGTATATTGGCAAATCACAGTTAATTAGATGATTGGCTGTGTTCAGTTTGATGGATCGTAAGTTCTTTAGGCTAAAGCGGTAGCGGAGGAAGACAAAGACAATGAGGAAAATGATAGCTGTGCCAGAAAATGATCATATTCTTCAACTTACGCATATTTATTAGCAAACATACCTAAGGGTGTATCCACCAAGATTGCATTGAATAACTCTGCAGGGTTTGGAGCAATGCTGACAGCTTCCATTTGCTCAAAGCTGCCTAAAGGATGGCACTTAGGAACCAGTTCTTCAATGGGTCGTTGACGGAGTGTGCCAGTGATCAGCAGAATCACGTTGTCGATCATATAGCTATACCTAGTGCAAGAAAAGCACATCAAAATACATCTTTCTTTCAAGGAAAAAGAATGATTTTTGAAAATCCAAACAAGAAAGAATCTTTGGCAAATGGGAAAGTTAAATAGCTAGGACTTCATAAAGGTGCACTGATCCTCTTTCAGCAGATGTAACATGAAAATATAAATAACGTATAAATATCCACTATACACTGGTGCATGACTATAGGCCTTGGCTATGTATATTTAGCTGCCCCCAACCTATTAAATTCCAGTTACTTCTCATATGGGGGGGGGTGTTGTTTAAAAACAGTGCTATGTTAGGGGGAACCCACCTACAGAAACAAAATTTGCTTTAAAAGTTCTTTAATTTATAAGAAGTTTAGAAGCAGAAGTCAATAAAGAAACAGAGGGCAATAATTAGAGAAAGAAGGGGGAGAAGACCAAGAGCTTGTTTGTTAAGAAGAGGAGAGACTGTTGGGCATTATATGCCAAAGGGAACAAGAAGAAAGAGATATGTTAATAACTTGTAAAAGGAGAGGTGGGGTGGGGGAATGATTGCAGGTAGTTAGGAAATGAGGTCAGACTATTAGTCAGGAAAAGTAGGAGTTGAGGAGGAGAACAAATGAACAAGTTTTCCAATGAAGCAGAAGGAAAAAAAATCTGACAGTTGAAAAAGAAAAAGGAGCATGTAATGTTGATAGGGGAAAGTGAACAGCAGCAAAATCAGAACAAAAGGGATGGATCTTGTTGTAATTTTTTTTTAAGTTGCTAAATCCTGATCTGAGAAAGAGAAGGAGGGTGAGGTGGTGGAGCTGCTCTTTAAAATAAGTTGAAAGTGTTAAAGAGGAACTGAGTCACTCTTCAAGCTGAATGAGTAGTCTTTACTGAAGAAATATTAAGAGAATTCTACCAACAATATATCTGGTGGGTGATTGCCTGTATGTAAAATAATGCATAAGGAATTAGAAATTTTAAAAACCATGCTAGCTGAGCTCTCATTAGGCAAGTTAATAGTTCTTGTGCTAAACAGTAAATGAATCTGGACACAGAATCTATTCAACCACTCTTATGTGAAGAAATCAATTATAATTTGATTGTCAAGCAAAAAAAGAACCCCATGAAGGAAGCAATAAAGTCTAATGTTACAATGATGTATTAAAAGATAAATATCTAGGCATATAGCTTATAATAGGTCAAAGGAGTATTATTCAGATATCATTTGGATTTCAATATTTTTATTAATTTATTAAATTTGTTTAATACATTGTTCTTATTCTTTGTCATTAAGATTGAAGGTGGCTGCTTACAGATCAGATCTCCAAATAAGAGAAAATACATGATCAAAACTAAGGCAAAGGCTGAAGTGATTGCATATACTAATCACTACATGAAGATTTGCATAACACTTCTCTTTATTAATTGATATCTAGTATCTAGGTGAATAAATGCAAGCATTAACAAAGTCTGTTGTCTTCTTTTGTCCCCTTTTATAGTGACACATCTCATTTTGGAGATCCATAGGCATCCATCTTAAGCTTTAATTCAGTGTAAGATATATATATTAAGGATACACATATAGAAATGCAAATAATTTAATTTAATCAGAAGCCTAGTTCATCTCTGCATAATAAGACAGACCAGTGCTTCCAAATCATGGGTCCCCAAATGTTCTTGGTCTGCAACTCCCAGAAGCCTTAAAGACTAGCTGTGTTTGCCAGGACTTCTGGGAGTTGTAGTATAAGACCATCTGGGGACGCAAGGTTGGGAACCACTGAGATAGACCATGAAAATATGTCCTGTGTGCCTGTTTGGTCTGCTATCCAAAGGCCAAGGACAGATGGGTGGCTTCACAGCCCCTTATCTTCCTTCTTATGATTCTCTACCTTGAAACTAAGCTTGTACTGAAGCACCTTTCAAGCAGAAGATGCCGTCAAGTTAGGACTGTCCTGTGACAGCTCTTCAGTCCAAATCAAGTTCTTCAAACTAGTTCATGGTAAGGTAAAAGGCCCATGGATTTATATAAATAAATCCATGGGCCATTAATGAGCCATGGGGATATATATACATCCCCATGACTGGCTCATGGAGTTATCCATCAGGATCACCTCCGCCTATCACATAAGAGTGGGGCATCCTCCTTGCTTGATCCACAACCTACCATATGTCTTCATGCATACTGGAACAGACCTGCAACTATAGAAAAAGCAGCTGTAGAAGAAACAGGTAGTTACAATAGTATTTCACTATCTAAAACTCATATAAAAAAAGAGCTTCCTGAGTGTATTAGGGTTTCTTTGATTTTATAATTCATACTTTAAGATGTTCACCTTTTTGAGTACTAAAAGGTTACTAAACCTTCTTCTGGTTGTTATATCCTGATAATTTCATGATCTGAGCACATAACATTACTTACGTAATATAGTTTAGGAACGTGGAAAGTGGCTCAAAAGCATGGTTTCTGAAATAGTGGAATTCTGTCAGTAGTTTGGATTTCAGCTTGTCATCAATGAGAGAAACAGTGAGAGGGCCAGTTTCATTCGCCAAGAAGTTTCCATAGTCCGTGGTTTGCAAATGTAACTTCAGATCTAACATAGAATGGAAGGGATTTTTTAAAAAAATAAAATAAAACAGGCTTGTTCTCTTCAAAATTACAAAATATACAATGCCATCTTTGTATCTTTTTTCATTTTTCCTTTTTATACTCAATTGTTAGTTCCAGATGTTACCAAAAACCTCTAAACCATATTTTGTTTTAATATAAGAACAAAGCTGTAAATGATAGTTGATTCAGGGCTAAACACCTAGAGCAAAAAACAAACAAACACCAAAACTTGGTTTCATAAATCACAGTAGTTTTGTTTTCCCATTTTCCCATTTCCTGTTGTACTCTTATTCAGACATTGCATGTGCAACAGCTGTTGCTGTTTTGTAATTTGAACCTTCCTCCCTTTCCCTCTTCCCACCTTTTGCTGATGTTTTATTCTTCTTTCCATAACCAATAGGAATTTCATAGGATCTTATATTTGATTATTTTAAGACGAAAGCACTCAAGGCATCTGGTTAAGAAACTGTTTATTGAAATTATACAGGCAGAACTGGTACTGTAACAGCTGCCACCTACTGTAGACAGACCTAGTTCTAAAAAAAATGTTATTTCAGACATCAGAAGCAGAGAGCAAGTAAGCCTCTGACAATGATTCATACAACTGTATTTATCATGTATGGAGCACACTGGATGGTTTTAACTAGATGATGTAATAAGACAACATATTCTTATGATATAAATGTAAAGCAACCAACAGGTGCCAACATATCAATGGGTATATGTTAATTTATTTGTTGCAAATGCCTCCCTGCCAGTTTGCTATGGTTAGAGTAGGAAGTGACAATTTGAAATTAGATCACAATATAACCAGCAGAATAATGTACAGTGGTGCCTCGCTTAACGATTTTAATTGGTTCCAAAAAAATTGCTATGTGAAAACATCGTTAAGCGAAACACCATTTCCCATAGAGATTCATTGAAAACTGGATAATCTGTTCCAATTGGAACGGATTACCATCCTTAAGCGAAAATCCCCATAGCAAAAAATTTTAAGCGAAACCCATTGAAATGCATTGAAGCCTATTTCAATGGGGGAAAAATTCACAAAAAATTCAAAAAGACTCAGAACAAAGCCAAATTAAGTTAACGAAGGTTTTATTAGGTGCACTAACGATTCCAAGCATTTTAAACATTTTTTAAACATTTTAGAATATTTTAAAAATAGCAAAAACGGGGCTGTAAAAAAAACATTAAGTGAAACAAGGGGACCTAAAACTGTCATCGTTAAGCGAAGCATGGTCCCGAAATCGTTAAGCGAAAATCACCCATAGGGAAAATCGTTAAGTAAAGCGCAAGATCACTCAAAAAAAGCCATCGTTAAGTGAATTTTTCATTGTACGAAGCAATCGTTAAGCGAGGCACCACTGTACGTACAATTATTTTTCATTCAACTCAAGACAGCACACATGGTCCTCCCTGCTCCCTTTTTATCTCAACAAAAACCCTGAGAGGTGGTGACTGGTCCTAGGATGTAGTATGATCTTTCCAGCTGAGCAGAGACTGAAACCTGCATTTCTGATACAATTCCAGATCTTTACCACTCAGTGCTGCTCTGTCACTTAATTTCTGGCACATCATCCGATTTTACCAATGTTTGATTACAGGAGGATCAAACTAGACAAAATGTCAGCTTCACAATTAGAAGTTGAGAGTGTGTTTTCCCTTCAACTACAAGAAATCCTGCAAAGCTACATATTTCAGCAATCACTCTTACAAATGAAACCTGTTTTAATTTCCTAATGATGAATCCCAAAACAAAAGCGAACTAAAACAGAGGTGAGGAACATTTGTGGTAGGATAAGCAGGAGTCTTTTACCTCTCAAGGAAGTTCCAGTCCTAATGACATGCTAATCTTACTGTCTATTTTGACCACAAAGAACAGATCCCAGGGAAAGTCTAGGCCAGTAATGGCTGCCATGACTCTGAATGAATGTGACATCTGGTAGCAAGGCCAGATGTTGTCTGAGTCTACCATGTAGATTTGTTTAGTTCTTGTGCATATGAGGAAAAGCAAAGCACAGATCCCCATGTAGGGACTTTAAGGACATCAGTGCGTAGTAGCCCACAGTAGTTATTTGCACAAGAGAGCAGTTTATCTCCATGTCCTCTAGTTCCAGTTTTGTCACTCTCCCACATATGGAGAACAACAAATCTGAAGAGTAGAGTGTCCACATCCCATGGGGGGACTCTCTACATGTGTTGGGACCCTGGAAAATCCTGATTTCTCAGGCTTTAAGCCTACACATAAGCAGGAAACTCTTCTCCTGATTTCTCAGGCTTTAAGCCTACACATACGTAAGCAGGAAACTCTTCTTTTCAGACCAAGCTTCCAAACTGTGGAGAATGTGATGATGGTGGGGAGTCACACTAGGTTCTATCCTGTGAGTGTGTACACAACACTTGCATTTATGATGCCTGAATAAGGCTTCAGCATCCCAGCTCACACCAAAAAGAGTTCTTTCCCTCAGGCTCACTGCTCTCCACAGGTGGTGATACAACAAAACTGGAAACAGGAGGGGTAAGGCTAAAGGAATCCATTCCACCCATGGTACCTATACACATTTTGGATAAGTTACTGTGGCAGAGATGCCCAAACATGTCCTTCATTGAGGAAACTGAGCAGCCTATCTTTCACTACCAGTGTTTTTGATTATCATCAACAATGGGAATTTTGTTACTCAGTACCAGTATTGTGCAAAACCTACAAAAGTAAATTTGCCTGAGAGGAAAAAAATAGATGAGAATATCTGATACCAAAGCACTCTCCATATCAAGCTCCTCTTAGAAGTCATTCACAAGGACAAATGCCTCAGCTTTGAATCATGTAAATGTTCTTGGAGGTTCCGTGTACTGTACACCAGTTCATGTCAGTATGTCCCTCCTTGTATGACTCCTGCTCTTTTCTGCTTTAGGCTGAAACCTGCTGGTATAAGCGAATGAAGGTTTGAACATTAAACAAAGTGCTACAGAAGTCAAAACAAGACTCTGTTGGTGAAACATTGCATACGTTTTGTGCTTACAGGCACCAAGAGATGGAGTCAAATGACTTGAAGCATCCAGCATTCATTACTCTCTTTTTTTCAGATGCATCTGTAGCCACACAATGAGAAGGAAGTGACTGACAAACTTAGCTGTCCTTGTGGATTTAAATAAATCCGTATGCGTAGACAAATGATCTCCTGGAGACTTCGAAAAAGTAACTATTTTTGGATTACAACTCACTCTTCAGAGTTGTAATTCAAAAAAAATGTAGCACTTCTGTGTTCTGATCTTGTTGTTTGTTGTTGTTTAGTCGTTAAGTTGTGTCCAGCTCTTTGTGACCCCATGGACCAGAGCACGCCAGGCCCTCCTATCTTCCACTGCTTCCCGGAGTTTGGTCAAATTCATGCTGGTAGCTTCGATGACACTGTCCAACCATCTTGTCCTCTGATCTTGTACCGACCTTCAAATATGTATATTATAGCCTTAATATGTGAGGAGTTATTTGTATCAGAAACTAGGTAGGTACAGTAGCTTCCCTCAGCCTGGGAGCCTCCAGATGCTGTAGACTACAATTCACATCACCACTGGCCACTGTTTGTGGGATGTGTAGTCCAAACCAGTCATTTTCAGTCCTTCCCCCCCCTTTTTTTTGGCCCTAGCTAAAAGCACAATATGATAGGAATATAGACTCAGAATTGTATGAGTCATATAACAAATCTTAGGGAATATAGACTCAGAATTGTATGAGTCATGTAACAAATCTTAGAAAGTGGTTTGTAAATAATTGTTTCCAGTCCGAAGGTGGTGTGTAAATAATTGTTTCCAGTCCATTGCCCCCTTCAAATGTTCCAGGGCTCACCCCACGGGGACATATGGCCCCCATTGAAAATGGCTGGGTAGGTGCCTAAGATACATTCAAATCACAGTTGCTAGGATATGTGTGTCATTTTGTCTTTCACTTCAGGCAGCAAATTGGGGGGGGGGCAAGCCCCAGATTATCAGAAGAATATATTCCCTCCAAACATAAACATGGCATTGTCCTAGCAGCCAGTTCTGCAGTGGGATGTTGATAATGAAGGAAACACAGAATTTGATCATCTTACATAGTTCCTTATTAAAGAACAGAAAAACATATCGTCCATCTTTACAGTAGGGACTCACTGTAATGTAGAAACTGGCTTACTATTAGAATAGTAGAATAATGTACAAACTGGCTTACTATTAGAATTCTGGTAGTTAATCAGACAGAGGAGGCGCCATCTTGCATTTCTGCCTATATTTAGAAAAACAGATGTTGTACTTTCTCTTGCCCAAAGCCCCTCAAAGTCCTGCCATCCTTCTTCCTTTATAGCAAGTGTATTTTGTAAAGGATGGGACCAAAAGAATCATTTTTTTGTCTTTTTCCCGCCTAACAGTAAACCAATGTTGCTTTGACAGCCAGTGTTCTGCCAGTATACTGTGTCTGTGATTTAGCTCACCAAAGTGCTGTGTGTTTGTCTATATTATTAGTTTTGAGACACCAGTCCAGTTGAGTATAAGCAGTGGCTTAAATGTGAAGTAACATTGGATCGTTAGTAGGATACAACTAGTATCCACAACTGTATTTTTATGTATTTACATATTGTTGCCTCAGTGTTATATATTTTCATAATTATTTGAATTGTATTGTATAAGCATAGCTCTGGTCAAAAGCATACAATATTTTAAAATTCCTATCAACAATTTAGTTGCTTTATTTTCATCTTCATCCCAATTGAATTATAATTTCCTTTTTTTGAAGACTGATCCCTTTTTCCTTTATTCTTTCAACCCAATGACATGTTAAAATTTTCTTTGATCAGTACTTAGTTAATCAAGTATCAAGATCGGGATGCAACCCCCTCCCACAGATGGAGGCAAAGGGCAAAATCCTGTTGCGTACAATTACAGCAATGTCAACCAGATCTGCTGCCAAAAATAATTAATGCAAATGAATAGAAAGCTTCCTATCCTTGTTTTAACTTCCAAAGCTCCCTAAGAAAAGTCTTTGGGAAGCCTTGGGATCAGGCTTTAATTGCCAAAATTTACCTCCAGATTATTTAAATTAATTATTACTGCCACTAAATCTAATCTACAACGGCGTAACTTTACACAACAAGGTTTTGCCCTTTGTTACGCAAACTTAAATTAAACTTCTAAAAGTTGCAAAACCAACTCAGCTCACCTTCCAGAGTTTCACACTGTGCCAAATTCACATAGTCGGCAGCCTTCAAAATTCCACCTTTAAAACCTCGGACCAGTCCCTCCAGATAACCATGATCTATATTGAAGTAAAATTCTGAGTAGCCAGGCATAGCGGACGAGTCAGCTTGACAACTCCCTAAATTGAGAAAGTACAGAGCTGTGCGTTTGCCTCCAGAAGACTATAATGAACAGTCACTAGCTAACTTGTGAGGTTTGATTGACTTGTTTCTTCCCGTTTCATTGTTTCCAGTACAACATTACTGCAGTGTGCCTAGTGCTTACACAACATAAGCTCACCAGACTGACAAAATCTGATTCTTTCCTGTTATAAATCCACTAAATGCAAGGTGGGAAACAAGAAGAGGAACAAAGGGAAAACATTAGATATTTATATGAAATGAGGTTTGGATCCAACCAGACAGATCTCCCTTAAAATGAATCTATGTAGGTATATGTGCTTATTAAAAATATGATTATATTATCACTAAATGATGTGCTTAAATTGTGTTGTGAAATGTATTCAGAAAGGATACATGCTCAGAAATGCCCATTTCAGATCAATAGATCTGGTGTATTGTTGATACAATAGAGATAGAAGTGGTTATATTTATTTAATTAATGTTCTTTCATTTAATATTCCATTTTGGCCACAATCCCAGAGTGGCCAAAATGGTATTTAAAACATATATTAATGAAATGAAATGAAGTGGACAGTAGATCCAATTGCCTCGAGAGGTGGTGAGTGCTCCAACACTGGAGGCATTCAAGAGAAATTTAGACAACCACCTGGCAGATAGCCTTTGATCTGTATTCCTGCATCAAGCAGGGGGTTGGACTTGATGACCTTATAGGCCCCTTCCAACTTCACCATTCTATGATTCTATGATTAAAGGAATCTTTTGTAAACCTAATGAACAATGGTACTTAGTGTGATGTAGTGGGCAGAGTCATGGACCAGGACTCAAAACAAATGGGTTCCAACCCCTTCTTATCCATGGAAACTCACTTAAATAGGTCAGACTCCCCGTAAGAGACCATAACGCTAGGAAAAGATTGAAGGCAGCGGGAAAAGCAGAATACTGAATATGAGATGCATTTCCCGCCCCCCAAAAGAATCTGAAACCTTGAGCTTACAAGAGCTGAGCGGGGCTGTTGAGGACCGAATATTCTGGAGGTCACTCATTCATAGGGTAGCCAAAGTCCGAGGCAACTTGATGACATATCTTACCATCAACAACAACAACAAGAAGAAAAGGACAAAGACTCTTGTGCTAGCTTAAAAACTAGCCACTTTTATTCGGCAGTTGCTTTCATGGACCACGATCCATTTCATCAGCTGTGTCACTACATTATTCAAAATAATTCATGAAAAAAAATGCTATAGTTTTAAGGTCAATATATCTCTCAATAGTGAAGAACACTGTGGTTATTATAAAACCTGATGCCAAAGAAAACATATTAGTGCTTAATGTGCCACTAGACTCTTGGCAGTTATTGCTGGAACCGTAGGGCTAAATGATACATTGCAGGTAATAATTTCTCGAAGAACAAATTCCTCAAGAAGGGATTGTGTGCAATTATCGCAGCAGGAGCTTTTCTCACTCCCCATAATCTGCAAATTAGCTGGATTTCTGTTGTGAGCAGTGTTCAGGCCACAAGTGCATCATTTCTTTGCAATTCTGATTCTTCAGACATGAAAGATTGCCTCCATCAGGTTTCCTGAACACCAACATGACCCCAGCTATTACTATGGGTTACCTGGAGCCTACAGTTTGGCTGTAAATACAGAGAGAGAGAGATTGAGAGAGATTAGGAAAAAAGGGCAGGTTAGGAAAGAGTTGCCCCATTCTCAAACCTCTAATCCAATCCCAGCTATTACTATGGGTTACCTGGAGCCTACAGTTTGGCTGTAAATACACACACAGAGAGAGATTGAGAGAGATTAGGAAAAAAGGGCAGGTTAGGAAAGAGTTGCCCCATTCTCAAACCTCTAATCCAATCCTCATTCCCTGTAGGTTTTTCCTTTTAACAGAAAAAGTCCACAAATATCTATAATCTAACCTAGTTTGGTCGCTGAAACAGATATAATTGATTTGTTTGTTCCTCAGCGGATCAATATTCCAAGCTACATGTTTTTTCCTTCTGGAAATGTTTCTCTCTCACCACAAGGGGTCGCCCTAACACTGTAGCAAAACAGGTGTTGGCCAACATGCTTCGGTTTTTAATTGTACGCTGTAAAGCAACAGAAAACAGAAGTTACTTTGAAATCTATGTTGCTTGCAATTTGTCTCTGTTTTCTATGTCTTTATTCATCGTCTCATAATTTTGCTTCTTTGTATTTCCCTGCACTTACACTCATCTTTTTCTCACAGCAGATTTTGCCGGGGTGGTGTTTGTATTGCTAAATGGCAGATGACACAAAGACTCAGCAACCAAGAGTCTCTGAGTAATCGGAACTTTCCTGTACAAATTCATGTGGTTTTGAATCATGAGAGGAAAATAGAAAATGGATACAGTACTTTCTTAATATGGAAGCCCCATGTCCAAAAGATCTACCTTTATTTAGCAAGTATATGTAGCTCTCTGATTTCAAAGAGGTGACCAATTAGAGGTTAGTTTGATTTAGCATGCAGAACAAGATTAAAACAACGTTTTAATAAAGAAAGCTTTAAATGAATATATTAATCAATCAATCAAAATTTCCCCTTTTTTGTTATATTTAGCCTACAGTTTATGTACAACATAACAGTTTATAGCCCTAAAATGTAAGGTTCTGCTTCAAGTCATATAATATTTGGCTGGCACAAATTTAGGTTAAAAAGTCTTGTGAAATAATTCATATTGCATAATGATATAAATTACTCTTGGGACATGTTTTGCACATACCTTGCTGTAGACATGAACTCTGCTTGCTAATGCAACCAAGCCAACTAGAATCTAGGATCCTGCTTGCTTATGTGCAGTACGATCCCATATCTATGGGGAACCGTTTCCAAGCCCCTCCCGTGAATGCTGAAAAATGTGGATTGTAGAGAACCATGTTTTAGTAGCAAACAGGATGCATAGCATGTCCTCTGCCTCCGTCCAATGGCCAGTTCTGATAACTTCATCTTTAGAAATATATATTTCTAGGATTTTTCTTTCAATATTTTTAATATTTTCGGATCATGGATAAGTCAGTCAGCAGATACTGATCCTGTAACTGTATAAGGACAACTGAGTGACCAGTCATTATGAAAGGGAGCACACCCAGGGAATGAAGGATAGCATTGTGCAGTTCTCCTTATGGACACATAAATCACATAACCATGGATAGGATTTTGGTCAAAGAGTCTTGTGTCACCTTGAAGACTTAAAAATGATTTATTCTGCAAAAGCGTTTGTAGTCTGCAGCCCACTTTTTCAGACACAGTTGACTGAAGACCAGGAACATATATTTCAAGTTGAATTGATCATTTTTTTCAAGGATTGTTTGTTAGTTTTGTTGCAATACAAACTAAGATGGCTGCCCATTTAGATATTTCTGATTGACCCGTTCTCTCTTACATGTCTGAAACTATGTTGGCAATGCCTTATTGAAGGACTAGTGAGAAGAACGTGACCACAAGAAAAAGCAATTTAAAAGATGTGATGAGCTGTTGGGGGCTGAAAGAAGGAACATCTTGCATAAACCAACACATAACACATATCTCTTTGGAAGGCTGACCCTTGAGAACTGCTAGTTCTCTGTGTGAGTGCCCCATGTGGTGAACTGCTAAAGTGCAAATGGTCAATCATCCTAGCTTATGTATTTCTGCACCTGCTCGTTTTGCTCCAAATGCACACTTGAAAAACAGTTCTCAAACTACAGTACATTATCCATGGGAGACTGGAAACTGGTAATTTTCAATCTTGGGGATGTCCATGAGCCCAGATGTCTCTCCTGTCTTTGCTCTGAGAAGGTAAAAAGGGGTATGTGAGAAGGAAGGAAGAAGGAAGGAAGGAAGGAAGGAAGGAAGGAAGGAAGGACGGACGGACGGACGGACGGACGGACGGACGGATGGACGGAAGGAAGGAAGGAAGGACGGACGGACAGCAGCCCTAAGAATAACCAGTAAATATCACCAAAGATCAGAGCAAGGAAAGGATAGTTTTGGAACCCCAAGCAGGTCCTTCTAAATCTATTTTCTCCTCTCCATGCAAAGATATGCATATATTTCAGTGTAAGCTGTGTTTCCCTCAGTCAATCCTTACAAAAACAATTCTGTCACAGTAATCAGTGCAACAACATTTTGTAGTTGACATAATTTTTAATCGGTGATCCTTAACTGCTCGTTCAGGGATGTACTTCTTAAGTGGGACAATTCTAAAATAAGATTTCTGAGGATGATTATCACATAAGGTATTGAACTAGTTCAACCAAATAATTTGCTAATATCCCAGGAGGAAGGTCATTTTAAAGCCCACTTCTAGAGGAAGATAATTGGGTTTATTTTTTAAAAAGTTAAACTATTCTAGTTGAGCTTTACCTGAGCATTGCTGGTTAAGCATTTTTTAATCAGATGGTTTGTCAACAGTGAAATTCTTGGCTCCTCCAGTTCTGGTATTTTTATGTTTGATTAATAGAACTGTGATTAATCTTGCAGATATAATGTTGTGAAGGTACCACCAAGGGACATTATTTCCATTACAATCTAAGCAGACATTAAATTACTTGGCTTGGGGGGGGGGGGAAGGAGGAGGGGGAGGAGAAGGGGGGGGAGGAGGAAGCAAGCAATTTACTATCATGATTTTAGCATAATTCTGGTTATTGATATCTAAAATCTCATTTGAAAAATGTAAATAAAGGTTTGTCCTAACTAAATGGTACCATTGAGGACTATTACACACTGATGGTGCAGTTGAGGGAAGAGGAGAATGGTGAGGAGAGAGAGATGCCATACTCAAAGAGAAGGGGGGGGAGGAGGAAGCAAGCAATTTACTATCATGATTTTAGCATAATTCTGGTTATTGATATCTAAAATCTCATTTGAAAAATGTAAATAAAGGTTTGTCCTAACTAAATGGTACCATTGAGGACTATTACACACTGATGGTGCAGTTGAGGGAAGAGGAGAATGGTGAGGAGAGAGAGATGCCATACTCAAATGTATAATGAGTCTGTGTGATCATGTATATATTACTACATGCGAAGAGGTACATATTGTGAGGG